TCGCACAGTGGGCCAGAAGACCGATGGAGGCGGTCAAAATCCCGGACGCGTTTTGAGGTCTAGAGTCGCTATGGGACTCGAAACGGACGTGCGACCCCACCAATGGAATGCTCTCCGAACGAGGAACCCATTGGTAGGGTCACACGTTCGGTTCTAGTCGTCTTTCGCGACTCTCGAGCTCAAATCGCGTCTAGAGTTTTGGCCGCCTCCACCGGTCTTCTGGCCCACTGTGGAGCGCCTGGCTTATGCGAGGCCCCCGGCGAGGTCCCTCACCTCACCTTGCCAGCCGTCAATGGTGGGGGTGGCCAATAAATGAGCTAATCAATTTCAATTTTTCGGATTTTTTGAGTTGCTGGATCGAACGCTGAGTTACCTTGGTTGTTTTCCACTTTCTCTCTTCGCAGACATGGGACCGAATGAAACTGGATTTTTCTGCTGATGCGTTGGACGCTTTCCGTTTTCGAATCGGGGGTCTAGCAGTCCTGCGGAGAGCGATTGCGAAATGCAAGGCTGCGTGTGTCGAGAGACAACACCGAGAGTGTGTTTGTTTTGGCTTTTAGTGCCGCGCGAAACGGCCAAAACGGCCCCGGTGCGCTGGGATGGCCGTTCGGCAGGCTGCACGCGTCCGCACAGTGGGCCAGCAGACCGAAGGAGGCGGCCAAGACGCGTTTCGAGCTCCAGAGTCGCTAAGCAGGACTCGAACCGAACGTATGAACCCACCAATGGACTCCTCGTTCGGAGACCAATCCATTGGTGGGGTCACACGTTCGGTTCGAGTCCCATTTACCGACTCTGGAGCTCAAAACGCGCCTAGTTTTGGCCGCCACCACCGGTCTTCCGACCCACTGTGCGTCGCTAGACTTGACGAGTTTGACGGCAGTCCAGACGGTCGAGGGCCAAGGCGAACTACTGGGCACCTCCTTCTTTGCTCCTATACTAATTTTCTTCGCAGAGAGAGGCGCGTCAAAAATGATGCCTTGCCTACCCGGTTATTGTCCAATCTTGCCGACCATGGACATCAGAGCGCCTTTGATAACTGCCAATATTTTTAAACGCGTTAATAAGGATGCACCCATTAAAAAAACAAAAAAAACAAAAACAAAAAACGATTGAACTCAGAAATCTTTTCTCCATGACCAGTAGACTAAGGCACTCTCTCAGTCAGAAATATGAAAATCAACCGAATTTTAGTCCGCTTGAGACTCAGCCCTTTTTTACAGTATAGACACAGGTTTGTGGCATTCGCGCCACGATATTTCCTCCAGTGGAGATGTGTTTCCTCGGGGAAGTCCCAAGCATTCTACACGGGCCTTCCCTGCCCCGCTCCTCGCCGCCTTTCTACCGGTCCGTCCACCGATCGGAGATGCGCAGTTTCCGATCGCCGTCCACGTGCTGGTCACGTGGCCCGAGTGGGCGGGCCGACGAGCCGCCGAGTCAAACATCCTTTTTCCGACCTAACTCACTTGGCGACTTGCTGCCTTGAGTAATGATCCTGTTAGTCAGACGATACTCGCTCGACTGTTCCCACGCCACTGTTAATCGTTTACGGCGGATTTGCGAAATGGTTTGGTGAATCAACCATTTTGCCGTCTACTGCAGCTGAGAGAGCGGCCGGGCATGTTGCCAGGGTGCTGCATTACTTGATCTGATCGCAAAACACGGTTTTTTCTAAATATTTTTTTCACAGTGGCCCTGCGAGCTGAAAATGACGAGCAGTGCTCGTAGTGGCGCGTGACGGCTGGCCCTGCGGGCTGAAGAGCAGTTTCGTCGCTCTGTCTCTGTCGCACTCGCGGGGCGTCGCGTACAGGTGCGAGAGAGACAGAGCAGCGAGGCACTGCGGCCGGCCAGCCCGCATGACGTATGGTTCGGGCCGTGCGGTCGTCCTGGTGGCGGCAGTGCCATGGCAGTGTGGTGGCCGAGCCCATCCCCGGCCCGTCCAGGCAGATCCCGCGCAGATCACAGTCATTTCGGCAGTCTGCTTCGTGTCTCGCCGCAACGGGGCGGGGCCTCGTGCGGGTATGTGCTTTTTATGCACCATTTGATCGAGCCTTCGCGACGCGGAAGCGCGGGGCGTGCTACTACCACACGTTTCCTCGCTGACGTTGCGCCCGCCACGCCCCGCCACGCCCCGCCCCGCCCCGCCACGCCCCACCACACCCGGCGAGTGCCGCATGGGCCTACCTCTGCCGACGTGCCTCCCCCTTCCACCTCTCCTCCAAGGGGTGGGGTAGGGCAGGGCCGGTAGTCCGTCTGCACTTTCACTCTTTATTAATTATGCTTTCATTAAGTATTCATACTGCGGCATTGCGCCGAGAAAATGGGGGAGGGGGGGGATTTCAGCGTCCCCCTCCCCCTTTGTTTACGTCATATTTTGGAACGGGAAAAATGTAATTTTCCGATGGGAAAGCCAATGCCAAAGTATTGTTGATTTTCCTAGTTGTTGAGGTCATCAAAGCTTTCCCTATTGTCCTTCATTTTCACCGTGAGGTCGCAGATTGCTAAAAGTGCAACGCGGCGGGCGTTTTGGTGCGAGCCGTGTCAAGTCAAGTCAGCCGATGTTCCCTGCACTGTCAAAATAAAAATTCCGTACCGCGCTTCGGTTTGAAACGCTGCGCGCTCGCGCCGTGAACAGCCGAGCATCGCCGAGTCTCCTCCGAGCCGCGCCGGCGATGACGTCATAGCGACCCCTGGCGCTGCCAGCGCTGCCTGTCGGCGGCGGCGACTTTTCGACAAGGCGCGGGGGGCCCCCGGGTTTGGGGGGGCAGGGGCGCCCAGTTCGAACCGGTTGGTTTTTGAAAAGCCGTTTTTCGGAAAAAATATTTTCCGGTTCGCCAATTTTTTTAATCCCGATTGCAAGTTTTTTTGCAATTCCCAGTTTTTTCTTGAAATTAAATAGGTTTGAAAAAAACCAAGGGTTTGAAAATTTTTTGGGCTTTTTGAACTTTATTTGATTAGTTTCTATAAATTTGGAAGAATTGCCTAAAGTTGTTTGCCCTGTTGTTTGGGAAGTCCTTATGTTCGAATTAAATCAAATATTGGTGCAAGCCTAAGATAGAATGCGTCACATGAAACTACAACAATAATCAATAAATTTAAGCAGGCTTGCTTGCAATTAACTGGTCCCTAGCACATTTTGTGGGCGCTGATATTGGTGTACATTTAAGGGTGGCTCAGGGCTCCAGAGTGGATAAATATTACTCGAAATTCATTTTGTGAGCCTGCAGTTTTACTTGGCTCCGCAAGACACGTTCAGGATGGAATAGGTCATGCCCCTTCCCCACTCCCCTCCGTTGATCTGGTCCGAAACAGAGGGGGTGGGTGGGGTGAGTTGGAAGGGTGCATGCAGTAGGCGCCTTCGGGCCCTTCGGGGCTCCCCCTACACAGCGAGCACCCCCCCCAGCGCCGCCAGCCCCGCACCGTCCTCCTCGTCGTCGGCTTCGTCGGCTCGTCCGAGGGCTGCGGTCGCTGGGGTCTGGCCTGGGGTCCCTCCTGGGCTGGGGTTGGTGAGGGGCAGGGGGAGGGAAGCAAGGGTTGGTTGAGGGGAAAGAGGGGGGGAGCAAGCGTGTAAATTTTACATATTTCGTGTAAGAGAAAGTCCTGGAGTATTCCAGGCGACGTTACGTTAGGCCCCAAGTGCCCCGAAGTGCGGCCCCGGCTCCAGGGGGAAGTTCCCGCGAGGACGCCGAGGACGCCGAGGACGGCGAAACAAGTTCAGAACAACAATCCGGCCGGCGATCAAGTGCACCGCCTGTCTTCGGTCCTTCGGTCCGGCCGAAAGGCGGGGGAGGGGAACTTATTCGGAGGGGAGGGGAAAGGGGAGCGTGTGTTTCGAGGGGGTGGGGAGCCGCGAGGGGAGAGAATAGAGCGAGAGGGGAGATGGCGGCAGGGGCGGCGGCGCGGCAGCAGGGGGAGATGGTACAGCGGGTACAGTCACGGCAGAAAGTGCTCTCACAGGCCCCCAGCCGCGTGCAGACCGTCCTAACGCGGTCGCGGGTCGCGCGGAAAGCCGGGTTCAACGCCTCGGGTACCCGTCGAGTCTCTCGCCGGGGGCTGAACCACCCCGCCGACGGGCCGAGGCCCTCTGGCCGGGGCGGCGAGCGGCGTGCACTTGGCGCCGGGAGTGTACCGTCTTTCTATCGATTACAACCCCCTGGACGCTCCCCTCCCCTCCCTCCGCGCGTCGCCTCCACCCTCCACCCCCCGCACCCCTAGCGCAGCTATAGCGCAGCGCCGCCGACGGGAACGGGTCGGGAGTCGGGAATCTGCACGAGGAGAAAGGAAGGCCGTCCGCACGGAGGGTGCGTCGCGTCGCGTCGTTTTCGCCGCGTCCGCACGGAAACCGTTCGAAAAACGCAGGTAAAGTGCGCGCGCCGTCGCGAGGCAAGTGCTTTTCGTTGGCCGTGGAATTTCCCCGGCCGGTGGTGCAAGTTCGACGGCGGTGCGAGTGCCCGGGTGACGGGGGCGGAGAAATAGGGAAAGGGGAGTCTCGTCTCGCGCGAGGGCCCGGCCCGGCCATGTTGATAACGCCTCCGCCAGCGAGCAGCGCCACTCCTGCTGCAGCGCTGCGCCGTCGTGCCGCTTGGCCGCGGGGGTAGGGCGGAGGGGCAGGGGCAGTGCAGCGCAGGGGTAGGACTTGTACCCCCGGCCCTTCTTATCACTGACTGCCCGCAAAGCGCCACGGAGTTCGGCCTGGCGAGAAACCGGAGCATCGCCACGGAGCGTGTTTTCCCGTCCGTGCCGTCGCCCCGACCTGCACCCTGCACTTGTAAGGCGTTCAGTGTTGTTTACAAACAGGTTCGGAGGTGGGGTGCCTTAAAGAAGAGAAGGGAGTTTTCTGCGAGTTTTTCTCGTTTCTCTGGGTTCCAGGAGCGGACGGCGAGCCGTGGGGTTCGTGAAATTTTGTGCAGCCCACGGCAGGGGCGAATATTCGGCCAGCCAGCCAGGGAGAGGGGTGCGCTGTGCGCTCAGGGGTTGGGGGGTGGCTTTGTTGGCGTCGGGTCCGGGGCGTCCGGGGCCGATGACGGTGTGGCACGGCGGGGTGGCGTTGCGTTCTTGAGGGTGACTCAGCGATTGGTCACGAAGGTAGCAAGGGTCGCCCTTCTACTGGGAAAGCCGGTGAGGTAGTAGGCGGACGGGAAAACGCGTTCCAAGTTCGAACGGGGCGAAATGTCAAACGGGAAAGTCAGGTTAGGTGGCCGATCCTGTGACAGGAGCTGTCAAAAACAGATGTTCATCACCACTGGTTTGCTTTTCGTCTTTCAAAAATGTCCCCATCGTTGTTAATTATTTTTAAATTTAATAAATGATAATGGTTATGGCCATCTGTACTAGATTCCTTCATGAGATGGAAAATCAATTAGTATGTAAACATTATTGGGGCATTTAAAACTATCTCGCGAAGGATCAGTGTCTTTATAAGTTATTATATAATGAAGCAGTTTTCATTTAATTTTAAATATCTTTATTTTTTAAACCTGAACTCTAACTTTTCCCTAAGCACGATGGGATTTTGTTTTATAATTTTTCTATTTTTGTTACAGATTAAGAGCTCATGTGATTACTTCGACATCAAAGATCAAAATGGGGACTTCAGACAAGAAAGCATTTCATCTCCGATGGGACAACCACATGGAGAGTATGCGCTCCCTGTTTGAAAGATCATACTACGACCAGGCGTTCACCGATGTCACAATTTCCTGTCCTGATGGGAAACTACAGGCTCACAAGTTGATTCTCTCAGCTTGCAGTCCATATTTTGAATCAGTATTCAAAGACAATCCATGCAAACATCCAGTTCTAATCTTCAGAGAAATTAAGCAACGAGAAATGTCAACTCTCCTTGAGTACATGTATAGGGGTGAAGTCGATGTTCTTGACTCGGAACTTCAGCCCCTTATTCAAGTTGCCACTGACCTTCAAATTCGAGGGCTTGCTTATGGATGTCAAACTGAAACAACGGTGGCTTCAGGAAAAGGACCTTTGGCTAAACCGAAGGCATCTGTCATTGACACCATTCAACGTTCAGCTACCACTTCCAATGTGACAAGGATAGCTGCCCCCAAATCCAGATTTTCTGCTCCACCCAAGGCTGTCCCTGAAGATGTTGCTACTGCTGCAGTTGTCCATGAGCCCACTCAAGCTGAGTTTGATGTAAGTTAATATATTAATCTAAAAATTAAAGAAATCTGATGTTGTAAGAATTGCATGTTTAAACAACTTTTTTCATTTTAGGCGTCTCATTCATCACGCACTGGACAGAAGAGATCCTTGCCTCATCCAACAGAAAGTCCTCCCAAAGCTAAAGTAGCTCACAAAGCTGGAGGACCATCACCTATCAGCCAGCCTCATATCATGAATGGGTCACCAGAGCATTCCGTTCAGCAACCCTCAGTGATTGCCTCACGGTCTCCCTCAACTAATGGAATTGATCTGAGCATTCCTTTAACCAATGGAAATGGTGCTCATGAACGCAGTCAAGACCGACCCTACCAAAACGGCACTGCTAAGCTGTACAATGAAAGCAGTGTTATATCAACTCAGGGCAAAGTCCATGAGGTGGATTCAAACTCTAGTGGAGAAAATCAAGAGTCGGAAGAAGAGGACTTGAACCAAGACGAAAACAGTGGAGAGCTGGTCATCAGGGAGGAGGATGAGGGAGAGGAAGAAGGGCTGGGTAAGTTTTACTATTTATTTGTTACTGTTATAGTTCAAATAAAGCCCACTGCCAATTTTTTTCTTTCGAACCTCGCCTTAAGAGTAGCAGCAGGTGGGGCTCAGTAACAAAATTAGGAGATATTTTATACAATATTTTGATACTCCATTTCAGGCTATTTATGTGAGTCTTCCTTCACTGAGGGTGAAACACCAAATGGTGTGATCCAAAAGGAGATGAATGGCGATGCTCCTAGTGACGCCAAGGTCTCACCTTCAACGGTTTGTCCCTTCTGCTTCATGGATTTGAAATCTTCAGATCTCTTACGAGCGTGAGTCTCAACTCAACCTTATTTTTGTCCATTCAAATATCAATAAGGGAATCAATAAGCAAATCTTTTCTTGTCTTTGCAGTCATGTTCAGATGCATACGGCTACCAACCCCCGCCCTCATCAATGTGATGTTTGTCAATTATCATTTGGTCGGTCTTCACATCTTGAACGCCATAAGAGAACCCACACTGGAGAACGTCCATTCCAATGCCCTATTGTTACATGTGGTAAGCGATTTGCTCGTCAGGATAAAGTGAAGCAGCATGTGACAAGACACCACAATAGCAACATCCAAGGACCCCTGCAGAGAGCACCAAGAATGCCCAAGTCTTTAGTATCATCATTGGCTGGGAAACGACCCCGAGGCAGACCACGCAAGGTAAATATACTTTTCCAATCTTCAGTTTTCACCTTGGAATTCTCTACAAATTTAGTTTGTATTGTAATTCTTGTTTTCTTCACCCCTTTAGTATGCAGACTCTTATCCTGACCCATACCCTGAAGCGTTTATGATGGGACATCCAATGTCAGATGATGGTGGTTTGGATAGCTTACCTCGTAACAGTATTGCCGCTGCTGATATGCTGCTGCAGCTCAGCTCCAAAGTGACCCATCATCAGCCATCAGACTTCCTCAGTAAAGAGAACCATGTTGTTGAGTCAGTTGTCACTCAACTAGCTGAGCCTATCAATGCCCACCAATGAAATTGTTGAATATTTTTGCCAAACTATTGATCAAGACTCAACTGAAGTGATTTTTGACTTCATTATCAAACTATTTCTTCCTTGTTTTTCTACTTGTCTATCTATTAACTATAGGGCATCCATTGCAACTCAAAGGGTATTTCCCGGTTGCCTTGAAGGCTGTGTAAGATTCAATTACTTCAAAACTCAGGTCATACAAATGCTGCAAAGCGCACTATTGTGTAATGTAAGACACCTCCGCAATGCCAAGCTTTCCCTCATGTTTCCAAAGATGAGACGCAAAGCTGCTAGGAAAGACTTGACCACTGACTTAAAAATCAGAAACTATTTTGTAATCAACATTTTTAGACTGATATTTTTTCTCTTCTGAATCCCTGCTTTTCTATAGATTGATTTAGAATTCTGTCAAACAAAAAGGATGTCTTATTTTGTATTTTTTTCTTGCATCAATTTTATGAAAACAAAATTCAAGCCCAGAAGTTCATTGTGTGTCGTAGTTTTATTAAGCTTGTGGACAATTATCAGAGAAGGCAGCAAATCAATGATTTTAAGGTGCATGGATCAATGTTGACTCTCATTTGTTGGACTTATTTCCTCTCAAATTTTCGAGGGGTTTCTGATCTGGAGCAGCTGTAAGCCAAATTCATGCTTTCATTCGAACATATTTTCTCACCCAGATGTTGTATTCTACATAATCTTAAAATGTGTGTATTTTGGTATGGGGACTTCTTCTATTCTTAAATGTGAGGGAGAATGTTTCCCTTTATGTGTGATCTGTGCCTGGGGATGGCATACTAATATTCTCTTTTGTTAGAATTTTAATTAATCTGAAACATTGTTTTGTTTCTTAAAAGTTGTTTCTGTTGTTTTATTTTAATTTTTATCTGTTAGAAACACCACATTTATTATTATTTATTAAGAACTTTACCAGTTTGTGTAAAGACACTGGTGGTTTGAAAGGAAATATGAGGTGTCCTTCTATGACTTTTCTTTTACTTTGTGATAAATGGGAATATTTTAATATAACTGGAACTTATGCTTTCATTAATAAGTTTTGTTGTTTGTGCTTTTCAGTTGAGTTTTAAATTTATTTATTCATAGTTTCTTTTCCCTTTTGACTGTATGTCCCCAGAGAATAAGTCTTGGAGATAGATTGTCTCTTTTATTTTGACATCTTAGAATTAACTTGAGAATCAGCTCGTGTGTGGATGTAGTCATAGCAGTCTATGGTGGGTCACTCACAAAAATAATCCCAAAGATTACTTTGCTATGTGCCAAACAGTAAGCAAGTTTTGCAATTATTGACTTGCCATTTGAATGACCAAATGCCTATGACCAAATCGTTATTAAGAGTGATGATTCTTTAATTTTAACCATTGTGCAATACTTGAACTGAGTTAGATTTTAAGGCCATGTACATACAGTGTAAACAAGTACTATTTTGCATGGATCGTTTTTGAGTGTGTTTCTACGGTAGTGTGTAATGGTGTAGTCGTACAATTCAGAATTGAAATAAGTAATATTACGTGGTAACTATTTTTAAGTGACATTATTGTGTGACCATTTCCTTTTGTCCCTTATTCATGTAGTGTGTTACCCAAGTATCAGTCCTCCATCATAGTCAAGAAGGATTGAAATCAGAATGCCAAGATTGGGTTTTATTATGCCTTTGCTTTAATCGCTGCCATTAGTAACTTTTTTGTTGGATCACAAGGTTCTGCTTGGAGCCTGATTTACATGAGACTGTTACCAAAAAGAAAGAAAATTTATGTGTTACTTGGATATAAATTGGTATTTATTTTATATCTAATGACTGTTTCCGTATCGTATCTTCCATTCATTGAACCACATCTTCTTGCATCTAACTGTAACGAATACTTTCTGTACAATTATTTTCCACTCTGCAGCTGTGCTTTCCAAATTTGAAGTCAGCTATTAATTTCATGATTGGTTTAGACCATTTGAAATGTGTTTGTGTGTGTGTGTGTGTGTAAGACTTTTTATTGTCAAGAGTTCTATTTAAGTAAAATTTGGATGAGGTGTAATGATAGTCATTCCAGACATGTTAGATTAGAAAATATTTTTTGTGTGCCGATATTCCCTTGGAGCTTATGTGATATATATTTCAGATATACTTTACGGTTCCATTTCTCTGTAAGCAGTAAAAAAAAATAATTTGTATGACTATTTTTAGACAGGAATGTGTAATGCTTCCTGTCTTTGATGCCAGAAGTACAATTTCCAGTATTTGCTTGTACCTGGAACTTTCCACACCTGTGTGATCTCATTTATTGTAGATGCGTATTACCAAAAATTACATGTGTAATCAAAAGCATTCCAAAACATTGTCTGATTAAGAAAGCAAAAAGTCTGAATGAACTAGAGTAGTGATAGACAGCATATATGATCCAAACTTTAAAACTTGTACATAATTCCACTTCAAGTGACATTGCACTGAAGATTTTTTTTTATTTCTGTAGTGTTGTAAGTCATATCATAGGCTGGTAAATAGACTTCCAAAGAATTCCATGGTTATGGCAACAGAGATAAGGGAAGCTTTCAGCTTTTTTCCAATCATTATATAGGAAGTAGTTTGTAGTGTATGAAGTGTTCTGAACTCAAAACATTGATGGAAGTTATCAACGTGCCATGTGTATGATAATTGTTTTAATGATTATTTGAATCATTTGCAGTATTATGATGTTTGAACACACAAAGTCCTAAATTGAATCCTAATTTTGTTTCTAGAAACATAGTGCAAAGTTGTGAGCAACTTGAAAAACTTGTTGATTGCAAGTCACTATGCCAGTCTTGCATTTATTATGATTTACAGTCACTATATCTTAATTTCCTAAGACTTCCTCAATGAACAGCAGTTTCAAAAGCACTGTTGCTACTTGCTTTCTCTATAAACTAACAATGATGTTACTTGGTTCTTCTCTGTAAAATTTTTCACTTGTTGAATCACCTGTTAAAAATGCACTACAGCTGTTTCCCCACGCTGTTATATTCACACCATGTGTGTTTCATCTTTGTCAAGAACTCCATCATTTGTAGCTGAGTGGTTAATTGCCCAAGCCCACATAATTTGAGTGGAAATTCTGCACACTACTCTGTCAATCAAAGGTGATAGTTATCAGACCAAAGAATTTGTGATGCTTCTATTGTTGTGTCTAATTGGTGTCATATATATCAACTGTACTTCATGAATTGGCAATCTGTGTCTGATTACTCTGGTTATAAGTGACTCGAGTCCTTTTTGATAATCGAACAACATCAGAAACAGCAACAAAGCAGGGTTGTTATTTCCTTTTGTGGGGCATCTCTGCTTGCAAAATTACATTGAAATATAAATATACTTTTTTCAAATGGTATCTTGGGAACTGTATTGTTATTTTTCTCTTAATGGTTCATCGCAGCAGTTAGACTGATAGTTATGCTGAAGATATACATATCGAAATGTGAATGTAATGACGAGGCTGATTGCAGTTGAAGTAGTAATTGCGATGTGCCTCTTCTGGTGGAGTGTGCATCATTCCTGGTTTTAAGAGTGTATTTTCTTATATTGGGCAGGGTAAGCAGAGTACTAGTCTGTGTGCATTCCAAGAACTGAGGTCTGAAAATAATAAGCTACATTTATCCCCTTTACCTTGGTAAGTGAGTGCTATGATGATACCTTTACAAAAAAATGAAAAAAATAAAAATAAATAAAAAATGCTCCCAAGTTCAGATATGTGTAAAATTCAAATATTTTCTTACAAATGTTTTGGATCCGATTTGTCACCTTGCCATAATATTATTTATTATACCTTTTGATAATGTGTGTTTGCATGTGAAACTATAAATTTAACTTTGCCTCCAATAAATTTTCCCACATGTATGTGCCTCTTTTGTGTCCATCCTCTCTCCTGTCGTCCTAGTGTGATCAGACACACATCGACATTTTCACTCGTTTTCACCCTGCGCCTCTTTCTCACTGCGAGTAGGCGAGTGTACGTAGTACATCACTCAGTGCCCGTTGTGTTGCCTACCACGACGGCGGCTTGCGAGGGTGCCAGTTGTGTTGCCTACCCTCCCGGCAGCGTTGCGCCGTGATGGAGGCCTGGCTGCCTACCTTCTGAACGCGACATCATCCCTACGACGTCACAGCAAGGGTGGATCCAGGGAAAGAGGGCGGGGAGAAGCATCAGGGGCCACGCCAGGCAGTGCCAACAGAGACCTCAAGAGGGCCAGCGCCCCCAAAAGCATCTCCTAAAGAAGGCAAAAGCGTCACTTCCTGTAAGTGGGCGATAACCACCTCTTGAGGGCGTTTCAGAAAAAGGATGTGCTTGTTGTCCGAAGCCCGGCCATGTGCGTCCATGCGTCCTGGGCCGTCCGTGCTCAGGCTGCCCAGGGCTGCCCCACCCCGTCCGCGCCGCGCGTCACACGGTTAGCGCGACTCCTTGAAAAACAAGGACGGTTTTTGAAAAACAAGGAAAGATGGAACACTTCAAGGAAGTTCCTTGGAAGTGTGCTCCCATTCCAAGGAGGCTCCCTTGTTTTCCAAGGCCAGTCCCTTGTTTTCTTGGACTCCAGACAAATTCCAAGGGCCCGCCTTGTTTTTGGGGTGCACTTCCAAGGGGACGCCTTGGTTGGTCTCTGCCGTTTCAAGGAACCGCCTTGTTTGTCCGCAAAAGCTCGAGTTACGTCGTCGGCCACGTCATGAGGTCCCCGATGACGTCCCCCTGGGGTTCACCATGACGACCCCCATGTTTCTCCGTGCCGTTGAGGCTGCCGGGTCTCACAGTGGCCAACGCCGAAAACCGTTTTCTTCTACGTCCAGTACTTTCGGAGATACGAGGACGTACCACGAGGCCGCCGTCCAGGCGGAGGAGGAAGTGGTGATTTTTTCGAGGCCAAAGCAGCTCTGGCCACGAGCCTACTTGGTGTCCGGGACTTTTGACTTCGGAATCGGGTTAGGGGGGTGCCGGCCCACCTCGAAACCAAATTTGGTCAAGTTCCGGCCAGCCGTTTGTCCAGGATGGCGTCAAACAGCTGGATTTTTGGACTTATTTTGCTGATTGGATGATGTTTATCGCCATCCTGGACAAACGGCTGGCCGGAACTTGACCAAATTTGGTTTCGAGGTGGGCCGGCACCCCCCTAACCCGATTCCGAAGTCAAAAGTCCCGGACACCAAGTAGGCTCGTGGCCAGAGCTGCTTTGGCCTCGAAAAAATCACCACTTCCTCCTCCGCCTGGACGGCGGCCTCGTGGTACGTCCTCGTATCTCCGAAAGTACTGGACGTAGAAGAAAACGGTTTTCGGCGTTGGCCACTGTGAGACCCGGCAGCCTCAACGGCACGGAGAAACATGGGGGTCGTCATGGTGAACCCCAGGGGGACGTCATCGGGGACCTCATGACGTGGCCGACGACGTAACTCGAGCTTTTGCGGACAAACAAGGCGGTTCCTTGAATCGGCAGAGACCAACCAAGGCGTCCCCTTGGAAGTGCACCCCAAAAACAAGGCGGGCCCTTGGAATTTGTCTGGAGTCCAAGAAAACAAGGGACTGGCCTTGGAAAACAAGGGAGCCTCCTTGGAATGGGAGCACACTTCCAAGGAACTTCCTTGAAGTGTTCCATCTTTCCTTGTTTTTCAAAAACCATCCTTGTTTTTCAAGGAGTCGCGCTAACCGTGCATGCCTTTAAGCGGAAACGCGCCACTCGACCCTTCAAAAGCACTTGGAAAATTCCGCGCATATTGGGACGACGTCACTATCAAAGGCGTCCCTCTGTCTTGGTGGCGAGTGGCGGAGCGAATGACTTCGGCGGCAGTTCTAGGGCCGCCATCGCCATGGTCAGAACCACCGCCCTCCTGGCCAGCCTCGCCGTCCTGCTGGGGTGCTGCGCGCTCGCGGCAGGTGAGACGAGTTCCAACGGAAGAGACCGAAGCACTCGCTCTAAAGCACAGTTATTGGCTGAGCGATAGCAAAGCCTGTTACTCCAGTGGGGTTGAAAAGTTTTTCCTGTCTGTCTGTCTGTCTGTCTGTCTGTCTGTCTGTCTGTCTGTCTGTGTGTGTGTGTGTGTCTGTCCGCACTACTCCTCCTGAACGGCTCGGCCGATCTCGGTGAGATTTTGCACACTTTTTAGGCATGTCCTTGGCTCGGCACACGCGAAATCTCACCATCGTAGCTCAACTGGTTCAGTTTTAATAGCCGAAAAACACCTAAAAACGGCGAAAAATCGAGTTTTCTGCAGGCAGGATGCCTATTGTCTTGAAGATGGGGGGGTCTGGGGAGCGGAGCCCCCCAGCCTCGATAAGTTCAAAGGTTACAAGGGTCAAGATCATGCTATCTGTAGATGAAGCAACTCTACCTAGAAGGAAGGGGGGTCTGGAGGCGGAGCCCCCCAGCATGCAACAAGTTAGAAGTAACCGACGATGGACAAGCTATTGCCTGCCGAAGGCACGCTAGCGCCGCAGGCCAAGGTAGGTAGTACCTACTAGGTACGCCAGGCGCGGATTGGAGGAACAGGCAGCGAAACATCGCGAAGCCTGTTACGACAAGACGCGGTCTGGCGTAAACCTTCCCACGCAGTTTATAGGGTCCAACCCGGTTTTCTGCCCTTTTGGGTAGCCTTTCACAGCCAGAAATTGACGATGTCCATGCTCAAACTGACATGGTGTGGTCGACTTTCTGGTCGGACTGTTCGGATCAAGTCGTTTGGTTGTTTGGTGGTCCAGAAGGCGCGGACGACTGCGGGGACTGGTCCTTCACCTGCGGCAATGGCGAATGCGTGGACGTCGGGGCGCGCTGCGACGGCCGGCCGGACTGTTCCGACGGCAGCGACGAGGCGAGCGGCGCGTGTCTAGGTAGGTGTTTAGCTATCTGCACGAACTTTTGAGGCTGTCAGTGGGTCTTTTTGTACTATCCTCATTTCTACGGCAGAGGTGCTCTTGGTTATATATTAAATGTGTCATTTTGACTGTCACAGTCAATGCAGTGGCGCTGGCCCTCGATTACCAGGCCTACCTGACCTTCTCCTTCGACGAAGACTACGTCGCTGTCTGGGTCCTGTCGTGCAGCGAGACGGCCTGCTCCAGGGTGTACGTGGACGGCTTCGACTCCCAAGGCAGGCTGTCCTACGCAGCGGGAAACAAGTGCAACGCCAAGGGCTTCGACTGCACCACAGAGTCATCGGTGAGTGTTCCCGGACGAAGACACACGCTCTTTCAAATGAGTAGATCACGACAGCATTGAACACTGAGAATGAAAGAGTCATGATCATGACTAAAATTTTGGGTGAGGAATTCTTTATTACCCAAATTTGGGTCATAATACTATGAAGCTATATGGAGCTGATACACCCTTACCCTTCCTCACCCAAAATTGGGCGAGGATGCTTTCCTCGCCCAAATTTAGGTGAGAAAGTAAACCTCGCCCAAAATTGGGTATTGATCATGACGTTTTCATTCTCAGTGAAATTACGCCTCTCCTTTGTTCGCACAGCACACACCTGCGAATTCCAATGAGCTCCAGTCTGGAGATTACACCCTGGTTGCCGAGCGCCAGTCTGCAAAGTTGTATGTGTGGCTGCAGGGCCACCCCGACAAGCCCATAGCAGTCTCCATAGACGAGTCCCAGACTCAGGTGCGAGTGCGACCCGATCTCTGGAAGAACAATATGCGTGTGAAAATTAGCGGTAGGTAACATTGTGCACATGCAGGGGCTATAAAAACAATGTAGAGGGTGTACTTGGTGATATGATTATAGCCATAGTTGTTGCGAGTGAAAGAAAAAATTAAGGTGAAACAAACTTAATGAGCCAAGTCGTTGTGACGCCTTTTGCCCCGCAGTGATACCCGCAGTGATACCCGCAACGACGGAAGCGCCATCGACTTCAGAAAACCCAGCGACATCACCTGCTGCTTCACCATCTGACGAGCCAGCGACGTCACCTGCCGCTTCACCATCAGATGAGCCAGCAACATCTCCTGCAGCTTCACCTTCTGACGAGCCTGCAACGTCCCCTGCCGCTTCACCTTCTGATGAGCCAGCAACATCTCCTGCAGCTTCACCTTCTGACGAGCCAGCGACGTCTCCTGCCGCTTCACCTTCTGATGACCCTGCAACTACCCCTGCCGCTTCACCTTCTGTTGAGCCAGCGACCTCTCCTGCCGCTTCACCATCTGATGAGCCAGCAACGTCACCTGCCGCTTCACCTTCTGATGAGCCAGCAACTACCCCTGCCGCTTCACCTTCTGTTGAGCCAGCGACCTCTCCTGCCGCTTCACCATCTGAGGAGCCTGTAACTACCCCTGCCGCTTCACCTTCTGATGAGTCTGTAACTACCCCTTCCGCTTCACCTTCTGATGAACCAGCAACAACCCCTGAGGCGTCCCCTTCTGATGAGCCGGTGACGACCCCTGTCGTGTCTCCTTCTGATGAGCCTGCAACAACCCCAAATGTTTCACCCTCTGAGGAGCCAGCTACAACCCCTGTGGTTTCTCCCTCCGAGGGGCCAGTAACAACCCCTGAGGTGTCTCCCTCTGATGAGCCAGCAACAACCCCTGAGGTGTCACCATCTGATGGACCAGCAACGACCCCAGATGTTTCTCCTTCAGAGGAGCCAGCAACAACCCCTGACGTGTCTCCTACTGAGGAACCTGCGACCCCTACCCAGGAGTCGACCACAGAAGAGGCAACGACTGCCACCGCGGCCCCCACCCCCGCCCCCTGGCCTCCAAGGCCGGTGCCGACCTCCTGCACGCCCGAAATGGCGTCCCTGTTCATCCCCGTGCCTGGGCAGTGTGGCTCATACCTCTGGTGCTACTCGGGCAGGAGCGCTCTGATGAGGTGTCCCAGCACGTTGAGATTCAGCTACCAGCAGCAGACTTGCGACTGGCCACGCAACGTGGAGTGCCCTGCAACTCTTAAGCGCAGTTTGAGAGCAGAAGGAACAACTGCAGATGACTCTGCCACAACACCAGAAGAGCTAAGAACAACCGATGACTCCACGACATCCGAAGAATCGACTCAAACCGACTCTACCGCAGAAAACGAGACAACTTGGTCTGACGTGTCAACCACAGAAGATTCAAATTCGACCACCGAGGTGACCGTGGTGCCTGCCCCCGTCTGGCCCCCCGTGCCCGCACCGACGTCCTGCACCGGGGACTTGGAGTCCCTGCTGATCCCTGTGGCCGGGGACTGCCGCAAGTACGAGGCGTGCTATTCGGGAAGAAGCAAGGTCAGGCCCTGCCCCAGCATTCTGCTCTTTAATTACCAGCTTCAGACGTGCGATTGGCCGAGAAACGTCATTTGCGAGCAGTGACGTCAGAGATAAGGCGACCACCACGAGCAAATCAATATCCCTAAGTGATTTCGTCGAGAGGACCTAATCTACTTTATTCCTCGATTCGCAATTTCCGTGCGCGGCTTTTCATGTTATTGTCTGTCTTCTGAAGTACTGTTGAAGGAGATTGATTGAATAAATAGTTATGATGAGTCTACTTTGTATACCTGCGTCACGCTCAACTTCACACTTTAAGCCAGGGAGTGAATGAACAAAAAGCTCGAGCCTTTCGTGCGATTTCCTTCGGTCTGTTTGACCTTGATGCGCAGCTGCAGATAAGGACAGGAAAGTCAAGTTCAGTGTCAAAGTACCATCGATAGTGGTTTCATTCTTATTGAAAATTTGTATTTGGTTATTTATGAGTAGCACAGAGAAACGTACACCAATTTAACTCTGGCAAAAATATGAACTTTTATTAGGCACGAAGTAGCCGTATTTAATTTCAAGGGGGTGGAGCCCACATTTTGTTACGTTGCTTTAACATAAGAAACGTGTCGGCTTGTCAGGGTTTCCTGGAAGAACTTGGCGGAGTCCTTGAGTGTCCTTGGGCGGTTGGGATCGTTGAAGTCGACGTAGACCAAGCCGAACTTGCTTCTGCAACAGGAATAGCGGCAATGGTTTAATTTTAATGTATTTTTCAAGGGACATGTTTCTGCGAGGTGGGCAGTTGGTGAACCTACTCGTATCCGTCAAGCCATTCCAAGTTGTCTTCAAGGCTCCAGCAAGTGTAGCCAATCACGTTGCACCCATCCCGGTTGATGGCTTGCATCAGGCCTCGCATGTAGCCCTTGAGGAATTAGACACAGCCGTAGTAAGTTTTGAGCCAACAACAGTATACACTCTTTATGCCTGTTAAACTCACGCTGTAGAAGCCGATGCGTTTCTGGTCCTTGGTGCCTTCGTCCGCTGCCCCGGCGTAGCCGTTCTCTGCCACCCACACTGGGAAGTTGTTGTAGCGGTTCTTCACCCACCTCACTCCGTCAGCAAGAGCGAATGGAGTCACCTGTCACCAAGTCAACCTTAGCATTGCTTTTCACCCGAAAGTAGAGAAAGTCTGGCTTCACCGTGAAGACAATGCCTGACACCCACCGGGAAGGAGGACCTGGCACTCTGGATCCAGTTGGGATCGGTGGAGGTCTCAACCCCAATGTCGTTGAAGTACCCCGCCGAAAGGGTCTCCGTGGAGGTGCGGTCGGCCACGAGGATGCCGGTGTACAGGTTGAGGCCGAGGAAGTCCATCGCACCTGCCAAACAACAGCATTATGGCTTATCGGTCCACTTTCCCCATGGAAGTATAGGTTGGCGTTTGGTTAGATTTCGAGGAGTGGACTCACCCTGGACGATCGTCTTCTCCTCGTCGGTGAAGGTCGGCAGCCTGGACGTGGCGCGGCCCTCGGCGGCGCTCAGGTTGCCGATGATGTTCTTCATGACCTCGGGGTAGTCGCCGAAGAAGAGCGGGTCCGCCCACCAGCCGTACCTCCAGAGGCGGTAGCGCTCGGCAGCCTCGACGTCCTCCGGCTTGTTTGTCAGCGGCTCGGCGAACTCCATGTTGATGGCCGAGCCCAGCCGCCCTGCCACCCAAGTGGCGTTTAAAGTCCGTCCGCAGCGACAGACACAAGGCCAGAAGACCGGTGGAGGCGGCCAAATTTCTAGACGCGTTTTGACCTCCAGAGTCGCTAAGCATAAATCTGGTGTGACCCCATTAGTGGATTCCTCGTTCGAAGAGCAATCCATCAGTGGGGTCACACGTTTGGTTCGGTCCCGTTTGGCGACTCTGGAGGTCAAAACGCGTCCAGAATTTTGTCCGCCTCCACCGGTCTTCTGGCCCACTGTGTGACGCGTCACCGAGTGCGTGCGTGTTCTTACCGCCTTGGTAGGCGAAGTTCTGCTGGTAGGCGCGGTACGCCTTGCCGTGCGCGATGATCATGTTGTGGCTGCAGAGGTAGCCGCCGAAGCCGGGGTTGCTCACGGCCGGTGCGATCCCAGGCAGCTCGTACCCGTACACGCACTGGCTCATGGGCTCATTGAAGAGGATCCAGGTCTTCACCTGAAGCAAACCAACGACGTCAGCATGGCTGCATCACAGCAACGACTGGTTGTGCCAGATTTTACGCACCCGGTCACCGAAAGTCTGGAAGCAGTAAGAGGCGTAGTCGACGAACTTGTCCTGGATGTCGGAGTTGAGCCAGCCACCGTCGTCTTGGACGACCTGGGGAAGATCCCAGTGGTAGAGGGTGATCTGGGGAGACAAAAGAGGTTGCGTTTATTGCTTCCGGATCCACTGTTTAAAATCCTTGAAAATACGAAGTGATGTGGGCACGCACCACCGGCTGAATGCCCCTGGCAATCAGGGCATCGATCAGCTCGTTGTAGTACTGGGTCCCCACTGCGCTGGGGTGGGCGCTGTCGCCCTGGGGCAGCACTCGGGACCAGCTGATGGAGAAGCGATAGAACTGGAGCTGCAGAAGCGAGACAAATACATCAGGCAAGATAGGTGGCAGATTCCACACTGGTCGAATTAGCGCCTACCCTTGACTTGCATCCCTGACTGTTCAAACTCACCTGGATGTCGCTGAGCATCTGGACGTCATCCATGTACTTGTGGTAGGAGTCGTCGGCGACGTCCCCGTTGGCCAAGGAGGGGCGGGAGTGGAAGAACACGTCCATGATGCTGGGGGACTTGTCTGGAATCACGAAGATGAGTCTAACAAGGTGCGGCTAGGGTGCAAAACTGGCAAGGGAAGCACTATTGAGCCCCACCTGACTCGTTCCACGCGCCCTCCACCTGGTACGCAGCACTGGCGGCCCCGATCAGCAGCCCTGCGGGGATGTCGTACTGCGACTCGGGGATGTTGTCGTTGGGCTCGTAGTACTCCTCGTCTGGAAGTTGTTTAGTGATCTACTCTGGTTTAGTTTTGCTTTGGTAACTCAGTGAGTGTACTCACTGTATCCCTTGGCGGCGGGTTCGGCGGGGTCTTCCGGGTTGTCTTCGTTGCCGCTCAGGCAGCGCTGCCTGTCCGCACTGTAGGTGGAGCCCTCGGGGCACATGAGCAGCCGCGGCTGGGAGAAGGTGTTGGTGCCGGTCTGGACGCACTCGTAGTATCTGGTCAAAAAATACTCTATGATCAATTTCTGGCCGAATTTTGGCGAATAGATAACGGACTCTCGTTGCACAGTGGGCCGGAAGATCGGTGGAGGCGGCCAAAACTCTAGACGCGTTTTGAGCTCCAGAGTCGCTAAACGCGCCTCGAACCAAACGTGTGATTCCACCAATGGATTCCTCGGTCGGAGAGCAATCCATCGGTGGGTCACACGTTCGGTTCGAGTTCCATTTAGCGACACTAGAGCTCAAAACGCATCTAGAGTTCTGGCCGCCCTGGGTGAGGCGCCCATGGGCGACCAATGGTCCGTCCACACTGCAACCTTAGACACCCATGGTGAATCCATTGGTGCCTATGGTCGTGAAGGGGTGACCATGGTCGATCCGTGGACAGGCCATGGACAATCCATGGTTGGCCCATGGGTCATCCATAACAAATGGGCAACCAATGGTCATCCACAGACGGTCCATGGACGGCCAATTGACAATGGCTTCCTCGTGCATCTAAGTCTCCAATTAATTTTCACAAAACCCTTTTAACTTTTGAACCGTTTGTCCGAAACAAAATCTGAATTTGGAATTGAGTGAAGCGCGAAAAGTTCATGTAGAGCCCACCATATAATTCGGACTTGGAAAGACTGTTGAATAGTGAGAGGACTTTGCCAGAGCAATATGCAGCCAGTGTGGACCCTCCATGGGCCGTCCATGGACTGTCCATGGACTGTCCATAGATATCCGCTTTCAATTTCCCATGGACCGACCATGGATCGCCCATGGGCGCCTCACCCAGGGCGCCTACACCGGTCTTCTGGTCCACTGTGCGCTGGACGTCCTCGTTCTGGGCGTCCCTACCTGGTGTTGTTGTCCCTGTCCGCCAGGCGGCCCTCCGCCAGGCACGTGAGCACGCAGTCCCCGGTGGCGGCGTCCACGGTGTAGTTGGGCGGGCAGGCGGCCACCAGAGCGTTGGCGGCCACGGCGTCGCGGCACACCACGTACACCTCGGGGTCCTGGGGGAAGCGCTGGTAGACGCCAACCAGGGCGTTGGAGCAGGCCACCGTGGAGCACGTCGCCTCGGAGCTGCAATGCGCCAAGAGGTGAAGCTACCAGTGTACTCAAACTTAATGCACCACTGGAGAGGCTGGAGAGTCGAGTGTCTCAAACTGAAGTAGGTTATGTGCAAAACTCTTGAGTTTCCAGAGGAAGTAAGTCTCACCTGGGCACACACATGGCGCGCCGCTGGCTGTACACGGTGCCGGCAAAGTCGTTGCAGGAGTACTGGTAGGCCTTGCCGGCCACGCACAGCCAGTAGCGCCGGCAGTTGGACGGGTCGGGGTAGTAGCCGTCGCCGTTGCAGGTGAAGGCGGTGGACGCGGCGGGCGGCGCGATGCACGCGTCGTCCGACAGGGTGGCCACGCACGCGCCTGCCAACGAAGACGCTTTTACAGTGCAGGCTGAAGCGCACAGAGGGCCAGAAGACCGGTGGAGGCGGTCAAAATCCCGGATGCGTTTTGAGCGCTAGAGTCGCTGAATGGGACTCGAACCCAACGTGTGACCCCACTAAAGGATTGCTCTCCGAACGAGGAATCCATTTGTGGGGCCACTCGCTCGATTCGAGTCCCGTTTAGCGACGACTCTGGAGCTCAAAACGCGTCTGGAGTTTTGGCCGCCTCCTGGCCCGCTGTGAAGCAGGAGATGGCTCCGAATTGCCTACCTGCCGAGCAGTAGGGCGTGGCGGCGGGGCAGGCCGTGGTGCGCAGGGGCCGGTACACCTGTCCCAGCCTGGTACACTGCAGCACCGTGGAGCAGTCCACGCAGCGCTGCGTCTGGCCGGCGCAGTCCTGGGTGTCGGCGGTCGCGCCCAGGCCCAGGGCCAGCTTCTTCCGCTGCAGGGTGCGGGCTTTGGCGCGGAGGCCACCCTCGGCGGGCCGCACCAGCACCGCCACCTGCCGGGACAGCCTCAGTCAGGGCAACGCCATGCGCAGCAAGACCGATGGAGGCGGCCAAGATTCGTTGAATTAGACTCGAACCGAACGTGTGAACGTGCGATAGCTCTCCGAACGAGGAATCCATTGGCGAAGTCACACGCTTCGTTCAAGTCCTATTTAGCGACTCTAGAGCTCAAAACGCGTCTAGAATTTTTGCCCCGTCCACCGGTCTTTTCGCTCATTCTGCCATGGTTGCCACAAATGGGGTTTGCAATCCTTACCACGGCGAGGCCCACGGCCAGCAGGACGGCAGAAGCCCTCATGGTTGTTGGTTTGAGCAGCTTCCCGACCAGTGCACGGCTGCTGCCGCGTGCTGCGGACGCGTGCCGTGCCTTTATACTACGCTGCTAAATACCGGGGCCCTAGATTAGATGTCGGCAGTCTGGCGGTAAGACCAAAGGTTGGCAGCGCTAAAAAAAGTGTGGCAGTCAACAGGGCGGCAAGGACAAAGGTTGGCTGCACTCAAAAAGTGTGGCAACTTGAAAAAAATTAAGAAAATCTTCTTTAGTGCCCTTGGTGCAGCCAGGGATGGTGCCCATTACTGTTGTCCATTTAAATTTTTTACTCTCTCACGGAGTGCTTTGTCGTGTCCATTTTTCGATGTGTGTCGTGTCGGGAACTCTCGAATCAAATGATGTGGCAAAGTGTAGTTTGTAGCTCCGCCCATTAGGCTCTTGTGATCTACGATCCGCATGAAAAGCTTCGATCCACCGCCTGCTGGACACGGAATGCTCAACATATTAAATAAATGTTGAAAAATCTGTCTTGCTGTATCTAGGAGCATGGCAACTTTATATCCGACCCACGCGCCAAGGCAAAGCGGCACGACACTGGTGTGTGGCTCGGGCAAACAAAAACAAGCCGCGCTTAGCGGGTAAATGTCATCCGGAGTCCTGAAAACCGAGTACGTTTCTCGGAAAGGGCTCGCTGCGATGGGATTTCTCGGTAAAGCCACGTCCAAGGGCTTGAAGGAGCACCACCGTTCCAGAAAACCGACGAAGCAGGTGCGGAGTTTGTACCGTACGATGCGACGGTGCTGGCGTTGGCGGCGTTGCACAGTGGGCCAGAGGACCGGCGGAGGCGGTCAAAACTCTAGACGCGTTTTGAGCTCCAGAGTCGCTAAATAGGACTCGAACCGAACGTGTGACCCCGCCAATGGACTGCTCTCCGAACGCGGAATCTATTGGTGGGGTCACACGTTCGGTTCGAGTCCTGTTTCGCGACTCTGGAGCTCAAAACGCGTCCACCGCTCTTATGGCCCACTGCGCGTTGGCTTCGAGTCCGGCCCGATCCGGCTTTCGTCCGGCACACCGCAGGGAAGTCCCCCAACCTCATTTTTCGTCAAACGGCGCGCCTCGCAACACGCAGCGCGATGCTATTTCAGGAACGACGGTCGCGAAACGGGATTATGCCTGGCGCCTCGTCGCTCTGTCTCCCTCGCACTCACGGGGCGTCCCGCAGGGGCGCGAGAGAGACAGAGCGACGGGTGCCTCCAGTACAAACAACGCATTACTGGACCAGGTGCGTCGCCCAGCCGCCCGGCTCGTCGACAACAACAATCACTTCGTTTCGAATGTGTCTCACTTCCCGGGCTGATGCATCCCGCGGAGGAAATGAAAAAATGGAAATAAAAAATGAAGCTAAAACGGCGTGCGTCATGTTCCCATTCGACGTGCCATCTGTCAGTCAGTGACCGGCATGGCGTGTGACGTACTTAATGGTCGGCTGGACGGCGCTTGGACGCACTCCGCCGTGGACGCGCATTGCTGCAGCATGACCCGCCTCGCCCTGGCCGCGGTCCTGGCCGTGGTGTCCGCGGCCACCGCCGCCCAGTACCAGTTCGACGACGAGTTTTACAGTGAGTGCACGCGTTAATTGTGTTGCGGGCCAGAATACCGGTGGAGGCGGCCAAAGAAGGCGGCCAAAACTCTTGACGCGTTTTGAGCTCCAGAGTCGCTAAACAGGACTCGAACCGAACTTGTGACCCCACCAATGAATTCCGCGTTCGGAGCAATCCATTGGTGGGGTCACACGTTCGGTTGGAGTCCCATTTAGTGGCTCTGGAGCTCAAAAAGGCGCCTGGGATCTTGACCGCCTCCAACGGTCTTCTGGCCTGCTGAGTGTTGCAGATGAGTTTTACGTTGGGTTACGATTTTTGTTGTGTACACGCAGACCGCCAGCTGCTGGAGCAAGTGGATGACGTCCTACGACCCTGGAAGTACGAGAAAGACAGTGGCGCGGACCGTCGAGACCGACCGCGCTTTCGCCACAAGGTGCGTCTTCTCGCGTGAAACAACGCCAGATTCCTGACAGATGTCGCTTCGTGGGTGGAAGGCCCTTTTCGTCACAACACTGGTAAAACTGGAGCGTAGTCGTGCGCTTCATTCCAGCACGCAACGACGCTTGAAGAATTTACGTTTGATTGAAATCAATCCGGAGAAGAAAGTTTTAGACGGACAGGAACGGAGCATTAATCGAAGCTATGCGAAGCAACCACCGCGCTTCAAGAAACGCATACGCTTCAGTTCGACCAGTGAAGACCGCAGTGGTTTCTGGGAGGGCCTGCGCTAAGAGTGCGGTGGTTGTCGTCAGGGTGGAGTGCTGGTGGCGCGGTGGTACCCGACGCGGCGCGGCCGGGCCCCGCAGTTCCAGTGGGGCTGGGAGGTGCCGCCCGGAGTGAACCAGTCCGCCAAGACGTGGTGGCGGCCCTACTACCCGCAGTACTACCGCTACTGCTACTACGGCTACTGCCGCTACCGCCGGCGCGGCTACAGGGGGTACCGGCGCTACGGCGGCTACGGAGGCTACGGAGGCTACGGAGGCTACGGCGGCTACTACGGCAGGGGCTACCGACGAGGCTACGGCCGTCGACGTGGCTACGGCGGCGGCTACGGCGGTGGCTACGGCGGTGGCTACGGCGGCGGCTACGGCGGATACTAGTAAGGGACGAACGACGCAGTGGGCACGCTACATGGCCGATGTCGCTTTCCCTCGGCTCACGCACCCGGACGGGCTTTCCAGCTCCAGGGGCTACGACCGCATGGTGCTGGACCCCGAGAGCGCCCCCACGGCCACGCCGGACTCCTCGACGGCGACCTCGATGGCGACCTCGCCGACAACGATGCCGCCGACGGGCGTCCCCGACGACGACGCGGAGGAGGTGGACATAAGCAACGGCATCTCCAAGCTGCCCGTGGCCTCCGAAGAGCAGCTGGACGGCGTGGACGAGGACCCCGGATACATGCCCTTCCAGGAACAGGTGTGCGGCACGGAGATTGTTGTTTGCGAGAGTCGAAGTGCGGTGGGTTGCATGCCCGGTCTCTGTTTAGCGCCTCCGAGGTAGGCAGACACAGGACAGAGCAGTGCGGTGGGTTGCCTACCCGGCGTCCGTCAGGCGCCGAGGTAGGCAGACGATCAGGATCAGGACGGGGCTGTGCGGCCGGTTGCCTACCCTGTCTCCGTCAGGCGCCTGGGAGACCCAAATAGGAATGTCCTGGGAATATCCAAATTTCCCACAAAACGATGTTTCTCAGTGTAGGAGACACAAGTGATGCGTTTGTTCCAGGTTTGCTGTGGTCGCTACGAAGAAGCCGTCTTGCTGAAGCAGGATGCACTCCGGGAATTCTGCTACAACCGCGTGTTCAACACGAGTGATACAGGTTCGTTCGAGAAAAGAACCAAGCTTATAAATGTAAAAATTTTCTTTGATATTTATTTTTCTGTATCTTTTAACATTTTCGTTCCAGAGTCCGGACTGAGTCTGAACCATTTCAGCTGTGACAGTGCCCAAGACTTACAACATAAAATTTTGGTAAGAAAAGGTGCTTTGGTTTTTGATGTAGTGTTTTGACTCGCGCATTTCTCGGACCTTGTACTTCCCTTGATTCCAGTGCGTGCATCAGTGTCTGTGGAGGGCCCGGCAAGTGGTGAGCCAAACTATTTCCTCCCTTCTGGCTTCTTGTTGGATTCATTTTTTTTTGTGATTTAACTTTCAGTGTCGTGTTTCGTGCATAGGTGGACACCGACGGAAACATTTCGACTGCTAGACTGCGAGAGTTCTACCGCACTTCAGAATCGCTGGAATGGAGGGCGGACCTTTACGACAGAGCCGTCACAAAGTGCTCGGAAACACGTGAGTAGTGGTGCAGACGGGAACTATTAAAATCGACAGGGGAAATGTTTCTTGAGTACTTCTCACACTTTGACGCCAGTTGCGGTTGAACGGAGTTCATCTGAAGCGGTGTCCTGTCCTGACCAGTACCTCGACATGAGCTATTGCTTGTGGGCAGAACTCCAGGCAGCAAGTATTCTGAGAACTTAAAACTAAAACGATTGGCAATCACAACAGTATTAGTAAAAGACGAAATGCTTCTTACAGAATTGCCCCGAAAAGGAATGGAATATCAAGAGTAAGGAGTGCCAAAAGATTTTCTGCTATGTTTAACTCCCAAAGTAATCTTGAACTCATTAATACTCTTCGTTGCAGGCGAATATTGCACCACGCTTCGCAACTACGTCCGAGAGCGACGCGCGGGCCAGTGAGCAGTTGTTTACGTCTCTGTTCGGGACCAACGACATGTGCGTGATAATTTTTTTACGAGTTTAAAACAGTTTATAAATATATATGTTTGTGAGATGATTTTGTGAACACTGTTCAACTTTAATAATAAAAAAACATTATTACAATTAAGAGCTAAGAATACCGGAACGGAGGTGTGTAGCAGCAGCCTGTCATGGACAGTAGTATGTATTTCGTTTTCGTCTGCTCTTCGTGTCGGTTGTTAATTGGAGGCAAATTTGGAGTCAGCGCTAGAACCGCGACGGCGTTGCGAAAGCCGCCTCGTCACGCTGCCTAGCCTAGTCGCACTCTGCCAAGGCCAGCAGTGGGCGCCTCATTCGGCAGGCTGGGTCCGCGGAAGGCGCTGCGTCTCTGCTGAGATAGGCGTGCGCGGAGACCTAGCGGCGAGGGTCCTACCTCGGTAGATGGGCCGCGGCTACCACGCCTCTCCGATCGGCTGGATGGTGAGTTCGGTGATCTGCAAAAGCAACACTGTTTTCCAGAGCCCCAAACGCACAGTGACTTTGTCGATGAAAAGCCTTACTTCGACTGACGGGGGACAGGCGAGAGCGTACAGGACGGCGTTGGACACGTTGGAAGGCTTGAGGATGCGTTCGGGATCAGCGAAGGACTTGACGTACTGCCGAGGAAGCATGTCCGTGTCCACGGCTCCAGGGCTCAGGCTCTGCGGAAATTGACAAAAATCTTCATTTTAGGCCGTCTACGCGAGAAGCAACTTGAATAGGTTGTATCTAAAACTTTTTGCGTGCAATAATTGACGTGATTTTAGAATTTATCCTGCATTTTCTGAAATGGTAAAACAGGAAAATGGTAATACTCAGCGAGCTTACCGTGACTCGGATCTTGAAGCCGGGGATCCTCTGCACGTCGAAACGCACGCCTCTGCACAGGGCGGTGATGGCGTGCTTGGTCGACGAGTAGAGAGAAAGGGACATCAGCGGGCTGTTGATGACCACGTGCCCCGCCACACTGCCAACACAAGGTGGGGTGACGCGTTCGTTTCGTGTCCTGCTCTTTCAAAACCAGAGTTGGCTACCATTAACGAAATTAATTTTTAAGTTTTCACTGTATTTCTGGAATGTGCGGTCTAATTAGGTCCTACTATCGGCATAAGGTAGATCAGTCCTTTGCCGAAATTTGTTGTTCTCTGCCTCTTTCATGTATGTAGACTCCTTCACCACTTTTTAACTTTTATCATAATTGTAATAACGTTTATATTTTGATAATTCAGTTGAAAAATGAAAAAAAAATCAAAGAAGTCGAAATTTGTAGGAGATCCTCATGTGTATACCGATTGTTGGAAAAAATCTGACCTACCATAGGCTGAAAACAAGACGCAGATCGGACAGCCCGTTCCGGAGATATTTGAGAAAGTGCGAAAATGAATTTCGTTAATGGTTGCCAACCCTGCTCAAAGCGCGTCCAGAGCTTTGGCCGCCTCCACCGGTCTTGGCCCACTGTCCGGCGGCTGCAGACTTTACCTGTTGATGGTGATGATGTGCCCGTCCTTGATGTCGTGCTTCTTCATGCTTCCGATGGCCTCCTTGCAACCGACCGTGACTGCAGTCAAGTTGGTGGCGATAATATTCTGTATCTTCGTTAAATCCAATTCTAAGGTTCAAACATACAAAATATCTCAATTGTTTAAAACTTTATTTTCGAGTTTAGGAAATTGCATGCCATGACCAGATCTTGCCTTGAGTTGGTTTGTGATGTATGACAGCGGCGTTGTTGACGAGCACGGAGACGGCGCCCAGGTTGTCCTCCACCCACTGGAACACCCTCCGCACCTCCTCCACGCTGGACAGGTCGGCCTGCACCGCCTCCAGGCGGCCCGTCGCGCCACACGCCTTCAGCGACGCGGCCAGGTCCTGGCAGGGAGAATAGCGTCAAGACACTGCAGCGGTCCCCAACGTTGGGGTCGCGAAAAAATTTCGAGTGATCGCGGCGAGGTGGCTGGGGTCGCCTGGGGTCGCGGCAATTCCCCGGCTGGCCGAGCACTGGCGGGAACAACTTTGCGGCAATACTGCTCCCAAACTAAGGCAGATAATCGCACTCCGTAACAAAGGCATGCTTAAGGAAGGCCTAAAGACCAATTGCCCGTTGAGGGAGGACAAAATACCGCCTCGGATCAGACGCAGTGGATGCTTAAAGTCGGCCCGAAACGCGATTTTTCGAAGACATTTCTGACCGTTTTGATCAAATTTGCGGCAATACTGCTCCCAAACTAAGGCAGATAATCGCACTCCGTAACAAAGGCATGCTTAAGGAAGGTCCAAAGACCAGTTGCCCGTTGAGGGAGGACAAAATACCGCCTCGGATCGACGCAGTGGCTGCTTAAAGTCGGCTTAAAACACGATTTTTCAAAAACATTTGTGACTGTTTTGATTAACCTAGGCAATACTGCTCCCAAACTACCACAGACAGACAGATTGCGTCCTCACCTGCAGCCGGTCTCTCCTCCTGGCCACCCCGACGACCACCATGCCCGCCTTGGCGAGGTCCGAGGCGATGCAGGCCCCGATGCCTGCGCTGGCCCCGGTCACCACGGCCACTCGTCCTGCGAAGCGCTCCATGGCTGCTTGATGTCTGTCTCCCTACCGACGACGGCAAGCTCTGCCCGCGCGAGCCGCTCTGGGTCGTGTCGCTGTCAGTCCACACTCTTGTTGGCTCGCTTGCGAAGGAAGACCGTCAGACGATTTTTTCTGGTTACCAGTTACGCGCACGGCAGCCTATCATAGATAAAATTGGTGGTCGAGTGCGACCTGTCGGCGCGGAGCGCACCGTGGGCCAGACGACCGGTGCACGCGGTCAAAATTCTAGGCGCGTTTTGAGCCCCAGAGTCGCTAACTGAGACTCGAAACGAACGTGTGACCCGGCGACCCCACCGATGGATTCCTCGTTCGAAGAGCAATCCATTGGTGGGGTCACACGTTCGTTTCGAGCCCTGTTTGGCGACTCTGGAGCTTAAAACGCATCTAGAGTTATGGCCGCCTCCACCGGTCTTCTGGCCCACTGTGGAGCGCGCGTGTCCATCGGGGAAGGGAGAGGGGGTCATGCCCCCCACCAACACTACTTGGGCCCTGGCAAAGACACTCGCGCTCACGCGACGCAGGGCCATCTCCCATCTCCCTCCAGTGCCGCTCCGGCCTCATGGCCAAGGCCACTGCCATGGTCACTGTCTGATACTGCGCAGCGCGGCGGCAGCAGAACCACAGCGCGTCGAGTGTCACTGTCTGTACAAGTGTGAAAAGTACACAATGAAAGTGTTTTCCGCGAAGGGTATAGCTGTTTCACGTCATGTCCTGTAGGTAAATTATGGATCAAAAGAAATGAGGTTTCTGAAGTATTCATTTATTGACACAACAACGAAGGTTTGCAGATAACATCATTTGCCGAGGGAGTAAAGGGAAAGTTCAACGCACTTGTTATCAATCGTGAGGAAACCTTTGGCTGCCAAAGAAAAAGATCTTTCGGTCGCCTCGCCTAAAACGCCTCACCGGTCGGCTGAATGGTGAGCTCGGTGATCTGCAACGACATGCCAGTCTCTTAATCCCACAACTACGCGCTAAAAGAAAATACTTGAAATTATTTGCAAGACAAGCCTTACCTCCACTGAGCTGGGGCACGACAGAGCGTACAAGACACCGTTTGAAATGTCTGCCGGCCTGAGTAACATGTCCGGAGGCAAGGTCTTCGCGAACTCTTCGGGCACCATGTCGGTGTCCACAGCTCCGGGACTGAGGCTGGTCACTCGGATCTTGAAGCCGGCGATGCGCTGCACGTCGAAGCGCAAGCCTTTGCACAGGGCGGTGATGGCGTGCTTGGTGGCCGAGTAGAGGGAGATGGACAGGTGGGGGGTGTTGATGACCACGTGCCCCGCCACACTGCGAAACAGAGACGTCGTGGAGCTGCCTGTTGCCGGTAGCAACCAAGTGTTTGCCCGCCGGCTGCAGACTTTACCTGTTGATGTTGATAATGTGCCCGTCCTTGATGCCGTGCTTCTTCATGCTTTCGATGGCCTCCTTGCAGCCGACCGTCACTGAAGTCACGTTGGTGGCGACTATACTCTGTATATCTGCCAAATCCATGTCTGAACAACAACAACAAAAAAATACATTAAAAGTTTTAAATATTTTATTTTACGTAATTTATTTTGTGTTTGGGAAAATTGCGGCATGCCTTGGACGGATTTCTGAATGGCGATGGCGGCGTTGTTGACGAGCACGGAGACGCCGCCCAGGTTGTCCTCCACCCACTGGAACACCCTCCGCACCTCCTCCACGCTGGACAGGTCGGCCTGCACCGCCTCCAGGCGGCCCGTCGCGCCACACGCCTTCAGCGACGCGGCCAGGTCCTTCGAAAGGGAAAAAAATGATTTCTTAAAAAAAAAATGGACTCAGAACTATGCTGTCTACTAGGTACGGACTCTCAAAACGTCATTAATTTACACGAGGATGATAAGATAAGAGGCGCAACTCAGGTGCACTCTACTGCAGTAATCACTAATTCTTAGGAACAGCGCGAGAATAATCAATAAGCGAAAGAAACGTTTCAAGCCAACTCTTTCAAGGAGAAGGAGATTGAAAGTACATTGTGCGCGCATTATCGCTGTCGGACACAGCTGCAATTCGACAACGCAACCCTTCGTTGCATAGCCAAGCACAGGCACGGTGGTCTAAGGAGAGTGTGCGAACTACTTAGGTGTTTACTCTTAGAGCAACAAGCTAAACACAGAGCAGTACAGTAGCGTTAAGACAGCACATCTCAAACATAGATAGATAGACAGACAGACAGACAGACAGACAGACAGACAGACAGGCAGACAGACAGGACAGACAGACAGACGGACAGACAGACAGACAGACAGGCTGACAAGCTGACAGGCAGGCAGACAGACAGACAGACAGACAGACAGACAGACAGACAGACAGACAGACAGACAGACAGACAGACAGACAGACAGACAGACAGACAGACAGACAGACAGACGGACAGACGGACAGACAGACAGCGTCCTCACCTGCAGCCGGTCCTTCCTCCTCGCCACCCCGACGACCACCATGCCCGCCTTGGCGAGGTCCGAGGCGATGCAGGCCCCGATGCCGGAGCTGGCCCCGGTCACCACGGCCACTCGGCCTGCGAAGCGCTCCATGGCGAGGAAGTGCCGTCTGCCTACTGACTGCCACTCCGCAGTTGGCTCACTGGCATGGAGCCTCTCAAAGCGAGGCTAGTTCGAGCAAAGTACACGCGCAAAAGAGAGAGAGAGAGGGGGGGGGGTTTCCATGATGACCCCCTCCTCCACCTACACGAGTTGGGTCCTCGCCCAATTTGACACTCCGCGCTGCTTAGATAATCATCAAGATACTTCTCTAAGGACACTGTAAATCCAAAGGCGATACTGGAGAATTTTTTTGGCGATACGATTGAGTGTTGCCAAGAAACGGCCTTACTGAGAAGTATTGCCTTCAAAACGGCGATACACAAAAATATCGCCAAAATTTGGCAATACTTTCGAATATCGCCAAAATCTAGCAATAAACAAAGAACTAGTCCCCCTGATTTTATCGAAGTTTTGCCAAATCTTGGCAGTACTCCAAAGTATCGCCAAATTTTGGCGAAACTTGTGTATCGCCGTTTTGATGACAAGATTTTTCGGTAAGGCCGTTTTTTGGCGATACTCAATTGTATTACCAAAAAAGATACCAAAAGTATCGCCTTTGGATTTAGAGTGAACGGACTGAGAGTAACAATCGCAAGGGGAACGACATCACAAGTCGTCCTATGTGTGTATTGAGGGGCTGAAGTGGCGAACACAATATACCGCAGTAACGGCAAAATTTTCTTTTATTTTCTGCGCGTAAGTAGTAGTACAAAAACACACTTTGATGTGAGCATTTAATGTGGGAACTCAGGTAACAAATAACAAGTCCTGGACACCTCTATTTTTTCTTGGAAGACGAGCTCTTGTATGAAAACTGGGCTGTCGAGACGGGTGATGGCACGTGTGTTTGATAGAAGAAATGGCAGCGAAGATGGACGGCTGCACTGCCATCCGTCAACTCCTCTTCGCGTGGCTCCGACTACAGTGCCTCTCCGGTCGGCTGGATGGTGAGCTCCGTGATCTGCGAGACAGCAATTTCGATACAGCGAATGCACGCCATGGTGGGAGGCTCCAATTGGTGGCGAGACTTACTTCGACCGCGGCGGGGCAGGACAGGGCGTACAGCACGGCGTTGGACACGTCGGCGGCGCGGAGCAGCATGTCCGGGGGCAGGACCGCCTGGAACTCCGCGGGGACCATGTCCGTGCTCACGGTGCCGGGGCTCAGGCTCTGTCAACAATGGATCGTTTTTCCGGAAACTTCAATACGGCTAAAATGCTCAAAAATCTTTCTGCAAAAGTGTCCATCCAAATTTCGATGTTTTTCTTCGTCCGTTTCACGAACACTGACATTCTCAAAGCAGTCGTTTGTTTGAGAATTCTAATCCAGAAGGTACAAATTTACCGTGACTCGGATCTTGAAACCGGGGATCCGCTGCACGTCGAAGCGCAGGCTTTTGCATAGGGCGGTGATGGCGTGCTTGCTGGTCGTGTAGGCGGACACCGAGACGAGCGGGTTGTTGATGACCACGTGACCTGCCACACTGCGAACGAACAACAGCATTGAGGAGGAGTGTCGCCGAGAACACAGCACAGTCCTAGGCCAGAAGACCGGTACAGGTGGCAAAAATCCTAGACGCGTTTTGAGCCCCAGAGTCGCTGAGTGGGACTCGAACCGAACCGAAATCCATTGATGGGGTCTCATGTTCGATTCGAGTCCCAATTGAGCAACTCTGGAGCTTAAAACGCGTCAAGAGTTTTAGCCTCTCCCACCGGTCTTCTGGCCACACGCACAGAGCAAAGGTACTTAAAGCCTTTACCTGTTGATGGTGATGATGTGCCCGTCCTTGATGTCATGCTTCTTCATGCTGTTGATGGCCTCCTTGCAGCCGATCAAGACCGTGGTCACGTTGGTGGTGACGAGGCTCTGGATGTCCGTCGCGTCCAAATCTACTCAAACAAAAATGATCTCGAGGCGCTTTGTTTTGGGGCGAACTATTGGCGTTTAGCCAACGAGAGCTGACCTTGAATGGGTTTCTGCAGGAGGATGGCGGCGTTGTTGACGAGCACGGAGACGGCGCCCAGGTTGTCCTCCACCCACTGGAACACCCTCCGCACCTCCTCCACGCTGGACAGGTCGGCCTGCACCGCCTCCAGGCGGCCCGTCGCGCCACACGCCTTCAGCGACGCGGCCAGGTCCTGGCAGGGAGAATAGCGTCAAGATACTAGACAGACAGACAGACAGGCAGACAGACAGACAGACAGACAGAAAGACAGACAGACAGACAGACAGACAGACAGAAAGACAGACAGACAGACAGACAGACAGACAGACAGAAAGACAGACAAACAGACAGACTGACAGACAGACAGACAGACAGGCAGACAGGCTGACAGGCTGACAGACAGACAGACAGACAGACAGACAGACAGATAGACAGACAGACAGACAGACAGACAGACAGACAGACAGACAGACAGACAGACAGACAGACAGACAGACAGACAGACAGACGGACAGACGGACAGACAGACAGCGTCCTCACCTGCAGCCGGTCCTTCCTCCTCGCCACCCCGACGACCACCATGCCCGCCTTGGCGAGGTCCGAGGCGATGCAGGCCCCGATGCCGGAGCTGGCCCCGGTCACCACGGCCACTCGGCCTGCGAAGCGCTCCATGGCTGTCTCGCTACTGACGGGTGTGTGTGCGATGCCGGGCGTCGGGCCGGTTCGACTTTATCCCGATGGCAGGCAGTCCCCCAGCTGCCCCCAGCTTCCGGCCGCTACCGCTAGTCTCTAGCATCGTCCAGTCACTTCCCCCACTCCCGCAGACGCGGGCTTGAGGCAGGCTAGTGACGCCACTGAGGCGGACCAGAGAGGACGGCCCCGGACGCGACACCGGCCACGCGACGGGAAGCGTGTCTCCCCACACCGCGGCCCGCGCTAACAGCGCTAACAGTGTGGGCAAGCCGGTGTAGGAGGCGAACTGTACCCGTCGGCGCAGAGTACCCCCGGGTGCACAACGCCTAGGGCCATAGAACCCTGGGGTACATGACGACTAGGTTCAATGTACCCAGGGGTACAATGCGCCTAAGTGCCAGGTGAATTGTACCCCGGGTACAATGCGGCTAGGCGAAATGTACCCCGGGGTACATTTTGCCTAGGCTTATTGTATCCCCCGCCGGCCGGAGGAGGATGCACGTCGCCTAGGCGCAATGCATCCCCCCGGATACAAAGAGCCTAGGCGAGGAGTATCCCCTCGGCCGGCCGGAGGGGGATACAAAAAGCCTAGGCGCAATGCATCCCCCCGGATACAAAGAGCCTAGGCGAGGAGTATCCCCTCGGCCGGCCGGAGGGGGATACAAAAAGCCTAGGCGCAATGCATCCCCCCCCGGATACAAAAATCGAGAAAAAAAAGAAGAAAAAAGGGGGGCCCTTCTCCCACCTCCGCACACAGGTCGGAGGGCCGCCTGCAACTTCGGTGGATCGGGGGAACCGGTGCTTTACAGGCGGCGACCCCAGGGGTTCTCGTCTGTATATGGGCCGGGCTTGAAGGGCGGGTTTGACAGTCTCTCTCTGCCTTGAGAGCCTTTGCTTTTCGCGGGGTGGTCTGTACCAATGTACACCCGCTGTCCGGCGCTCTCTACCAAACATACAGCTTGTTTAAGGGCCAGCTTCAAAGGACTTATCATCTCCTCCCGACGAATCAGGAGGACCCACCCGCGACCAATTACGGGTGGCTGGATTGACGGATCAAATACTCCGTCGCTCCAGTGCCGAGGCCCAACCCGCCGAAGCGCAGTTGCTTTTTAGACACCCCAGCGGAGTGGCCAGGTGAATGTGACTCTGACCACTACGCTATCAAGCTTGTACGTCTGGCGTCGTGTTGGACGACGGGTTTGAGTTGCAGTGGAAGGAAGCCAGTCGAAAAATGTAATGAAATGATGGGAGTCGATCCCAGGACTCTACTGCCGGGCCGCACGACTTTTGCCGCTCGCCCACCACGGCCCATGACGAATGGAGCGGCGTGAGGCGGGCTCTTGACGCGACAGGAATGGACCGACCCGGTCAAAATTTCACAAGAAGTTTGGGGAGTCGAACCGCCGACCTCAGCACGGAGAAGCGACGCCTCTACTCCCTAGACCACCACAGCACATGCAGTTCGTTGGCTGCAGTCACGGTTTTCAACCACACTGGGCGAGGCAGTAAAAATAAATGTTAAAGTTCCTATAGGAATCGAACCCCCGACGTGTGGGACTGTTCTACACGGCTCCGCTCTGATGGCCTCAAACCGTTCCACAAAAGAAAGGAAATGCCGGTATTCGAACACCGCAAATGTTACAGACGTTCGATCGCATTTGCACAGTGCGGTGTTCGAATACCGGCATCTCAATTTTTTTTTTCGATTTCCTTTCTTTTGTGGAACGGTTTGAAGGGCCCTCAGAGCGGAGCCCGGGGGTAGAACAGTCCACACGTCGGGGGTTCGATTCCGTAGGGACATTAACATTTAAATTTTTCTGCCTCGCCCAGTGTGGTTGAAAACCGTGACTTCAGCCTACGAATTTCATGTGCTGTGGTGGTCTAGGGAGTAGAGGCGTCGCTTCTCCGTGCTGAGGTCGGCGGTTCGACTCCCCAAACTTCTTGTGAAATTTTGACCGGGTCGGTCCATTCCTGTCGCGTCAAGAGCCCGCCTCACGCCCCTCCATTCGTCATGGGCCGTGGTGGGCGAGCGGCAAAAGTCGTGCGGCCCGGCAGTAGAGTCCTGGGATCGACTCCCATCATTTCATTACATTTTTCGACTGGCTTCCTTCCACTGCAACTCAAACCCGTCGTCCAACACGACGCCAGACGTACAAGCTTGATAGCGTAGTGGTCAGAGTCACATTCACCTGGCCACTCCGCTGGGGGTCTAAAAAGCAACTGCGCTTCGGCGGGTTGGCCTCGGCACTGGAGCGACGGAGTATTTGATCCGTCAATCCAGCCACCCGTAAATTTGGGCGCGGGTGGGTCCTCCTGATTCGTCGGGAGGAGATGATAAGTCCTTTGAAGCTGGCCCTTAAACAAGCTGTATGTTTGGTAGAGAGCGCCGGACAGCGGGTGTACATTTTGGGACAGACCACCCCGCGAAAAGCAAAGGCTCTCAAGGCAGAGAGAGACTGTCAAACCCGCCCTTCAAGCCCGGCCCATATACAGACGAGAACCCCTGGGGTCGCCGCCTGTAAAGCACCGGTTCCCCCGATCCACCGAAGTTGCAGGCGGCCCTCCGACCTGTGTGCGGAGGTGGGAGAAGGGCCCCCCTTTTTTCTTCTTTTTTTTTTCGATTTTTGTATCCGGGGGGGGATGCATTGCGCCTGGGTTTTTTTGTATCCCCCTCCGGCCGGCCGAGGGGATACTCCTCGCCTAGGCTCTTTGTATCCGGGGGGGGTGCATTGCGCCTAGGCGACGTGCATCCTCCTCCGGCCGGCGGGGGATACAATAAGCCTAGGCAAAGTGTACCCCGGGATACATTTCGCCTAGCCGCACTGTACCCGGGGTACAATTCGCCTGGCACCTAGGCGAATTGTACCCCTGGGTACATTGAACCTAGTCGTCATGTACCCCAGGGTACTTTGGCCCTAGGCGTTGTGTACCCGGGGGTACTCTGGGTCGGGGGGGTACACTTACACGCCGACACCGGCTCGTCGATTTGTGCGCCGTCACGAGCATTGGCATCCATGGCGCAACCAGGACAACAACATCCCTGCGCTGCGAGTCGCACTCTGGGCCAGAGGACCGGCGCCGACGGCCGAAATTCTAAACGTGATTTGAGCACCAGAGTCGCTAAATAGGACACGAACTGAGCGTGTGACCCCACCAATGGAGTCCTCGTTCGGAGAGCAATCCGTTGGTGGGGTCACACGTTCGGTTCGAGTCCCATTTCAGCTGCTGGCTAGCGCTGCAAGGCCAAGGTAGGTGTAAACACCAGGCGTTAATTGTTGGACCTGACGCAGCATCGCGAAGCCTGTGACGCCAAGAGGCGGTCTGGTGTGCACCCACCTGGTTGAAAACCGTTCTGAAAGGTTCGATAGACTAATGCCAGAAACAAGAAAAATAAGAAGGGACGGGTAGATACGCCGGCCGGTCTTTGTCTCGTCAGTCTGGAACCAACGATGGGCTGGGCAGGTTTATTCTATGGCCGTTGTCCAAAGTGTTGGAATCAAGATAAGTCCTGCCGGTGGTCGGAATGAAGGAAAAAGGACGCGTTGGTGCTGTCAGGCCCGGCCTCGCGCCACTCCCCCGAGGCTGGCGTGGTTTTCGATTCGCAGCGCAGGTTCAACATTCACCAGTGGAGCGCCTCGGTGCCAACATCGCCTCCACCATGAGCTCGGCCGTCTTGTTCTTGGCCATGCTGGCGTGCGGCGCGCGCGCCGCGCTGCCGCCGCCGTGCTCGCAGCAGCCGCCCGAGGCCGCGTGCGCGTTGTCGCTGGTGCCGCCGCTGCTGGGCCGCAGCCTGCACCCCCGCCTGTTCGTCGTCGGCGCCGTGCCCTGGCTGGGCCCGTTCCTGGCCGGCCTGCCGCCCGCCGCGGCGGTCACCCTCCTGCCCGTCGACCCCGACCAGTGGCGCGACGCGACGGCGCGCATGACCGCCAACGACGCCGTGGTCCTGGTGGTGGCGGAGTCCGTCGGCGACCTGGAGCGGGCGGTGCCCGTCACCACCATCCCCGCCTTGACGAGAGTGATCATGTGGGCGACGGTGCATCAGGACCATAAAGTGTTGGACTACACCAACGACCTGCGCTGGAAGTGCCTCTTCAACGCCCTGCTCGCGCTCACCGCCCCTAACGGCAGCACCGCTGTCTACAGCAACCCGTGCAGCTGCGGCGAGAAGCCGCGACTGCACGCCACCACGATCACGGAGGTCAACAGCTGGGGCCGCGAGCGCGGCTGGCGGGACCCGGCCGGTGTGTCCATGGCAGTGTACTTCCCGCCCTGGCAGCCGCGTCCCGACGGCGTGGTGACCGCCCTGGTGCAGCCCTTCTACTTCGCGTCCCGCCTGGACCAATGGGCCGACGCGGTGGAGCGGCAGCTGCGGGACTTCGCCAAGCACCACGGCGTGGCCTTGGTGTCCAAGCGGCTGGCGAAGAAGAAGCCTCTCGTCGCGTTGCTCGGTGACACGTCGTTCCCCGCAGACATCACGGCGCACCTGTTCGTGTTGTCGACGGCCTACTCGGGCTGCAGCTTCCCCTGGGACATGAAGCGCCTCTACGCCGTGGTGCCGGCAGGGCTGCTGGGCTGTCGAGGCACGCCGCTGGCCAGGCTGCTGGGGGAGTTCACGGCCACCATGTGGCTGGCGACGGCCGCCGCCGTGCTGGCCGTGGCCGCGGTGCTGTTCGTGACGGCCGGCCCGCTCGACGCCGTCAAGGCCGTGCTGCAGGCGTCCGCGCCGCTGCTCGGCCAGGCCCCCGGCAGGCTGGCCACCTCGCAGAGGACGGTCATGGGCGTCTGGCTGGTCGTCGGCGTCGTGCTCACCGCGTCTTACGGTGGGCAGCTCCTCAGCGAGCTCACCGTCGGCCACCCCGGCGAGGACGTCAACTCCCTGGACCAGCTCCGCGCCAGCAACCTCACCATCTTCATGCACAGCCCGGCGTACGCGGCGTTGTTCCCGCTGAAGGACTGGGGGCTGGCGCACAGGGTGCGCTACCACACCAACGCCGAGGCCGTCTTCGACCACATCGCCAAGGAGCGGAAAGCCG